AGTTCAGCCTTGATNTGCCTCTCTTTCCCTCTATCTCAGGCCCCTGCCACAAAGCTTGTGGAGATTACTGCTGGGGGCCAAATAAGGACCAGTGTCAGATATGTGAGTGCCCAATTGTTCTGTGTCCCTCATTCTTTCTCTGCACACACACACACACACACACACACACACACACATACACATTGCTGACCTCTGTTCAACCCATCTTCCCTGTGTGTCTCAGTGACTAAGACGGTGTGCGCTCCGCAGTGTAATGGCCGCTGTTTTGGGACGAGCCCCAGGGATTGCTGTCACATAGAGTGTGCAGCGGGATGTAAAGGCCCTCTGGACATGGACTGTTTTGTGAGTACTCCATCTTTGATCACGTGAAGAGAAAGGCAGTCTATACTCTGTAGGTATTTTATTCTTCAGTAAAAAAGAAGCTGTAAAGAAGCCTTTTCCCCAAACTCCTTCACTCCTTTTATTTTACTGTTATATTCACACTTGTTAAAAGGACTTTACAATTACAAACTATGGAACGAACGAGTCTGGTTTTTCCATGCATCTACACATTTCCGTTACAGTAATACTGTGTACAATAATGTAGATTGGAAATCCCCTTGCAGACAATTGCTCACTTTGAACGCTACACCCACTTTATGTTTGTCATCAGCGTACAGCTGTGCATGCAAACTGTTTTCAAAACCCTCTTCTTTTGTTTCATCTGATATTTGAGGCAGCTGCTTAAGGAAAGACAAATGGAGATTATAATTTCAAAAATATTTCCATATTTGTAACCTCTGGTTTAGTTTATTTGACAACATAACATGTCTGCAGCCATAGCAGCTGTGAGTTTGTAGGCCTTTAGCGACCTCTGTGCCTTTAGGTAAAGGCTAACTTTTAGGATGCTATTATACAAATACATTGCAAACATGATGTTCTCTGATGTTAAGCTGATAAAGTGTTTGTTTTGTTCATCTACCTTGTTCTTTTGCAATTTGGACGGCAAATACCGCCCTTACCAATCTCTTACAATCTCTTCTCAAATGGGTCTCACATCTCATTCTGTGTGTGTGTGTGTGTGTGTGTGTGTGTGTGTGTGTGTGTGTGTGTGTGTGTGTGTGTGTGTGTGTGTGTGTGTGTGTGTGTGTGTGTGTGTGCCCGTGTAGGCATGTCGTCATTTCAACGACTCTGGAGCCTGTGTGCCCCAGTGTCCCCAGACTTTGATCTATAACAAGCAGACGTTTCAAATGGAGACCAACCCCCATGCCAAGTATCAGTATGGGTCCATCTGTGTCTCCCAGTGTCCCAGTGAGTGTTTGATACTTAACATGTTGTCTTATATGTTAACCTTCCTGATATTGCAAGCCTGAATCCTAACAGGGTTTTTTTCTTCCTCCTTGTAGCACATTTTGTGGTGGACGACAGCTCCTGTGTGAGCGTTTGTCCTCCGGGTAAGATGGAGGTGGAGCGAGAAGGCCAGAAGCAGTGTGAGCTCTGCAGCGGACTCTGTCCAAAAGGTTGACACTTAATTAATACTTTTCTACTCTGAGTTTATAGTCAGTCCTCAGAGATAATGACAGTGTTTGGTCCTCCCTGCAGTGTGTGAAGGCACTGGCGCTGAACAGAGACAGACAGTGGACTCCAGCAACATCGACAGCTTCATTAACTGCACCAAGATCCAGGGCAGCCTTCACTTCCTGGTCACAGGGATTCTTGGGTAATTTATATTTGTCCTACCTGAAGGATCTTGAAGTGTAGTGATGTACAGGTGGCTTGTTAATTTTACCTTGTTTTTATTCTTCTCAGAGATGACTTTAAAAACATCCCGCCCCTGGATGCCAAACAGTTGGAAGTGTTTCGCACCGTCAGAGAAATAACAGGTTTGTTTATACAGCGAAGATTGATGTTGTTGATAATGGATTACTAGATTCGGATACATGCAGACAAAAATGATCAAGAAAAGGAATTATCTTTCTCAACAAATTATTACGATTATTGTGATGGCATATTTACTTATCTTAAAATGCCTATATATAACATTTTCAAAGTATGTTTTAAATGTATATGTCATTATTCCCTGTTGACAATTGTTTAAAATAAATGTTAGTATAATGTCAATTTTTTATACTGCACAATATTTTAATCACAGTTAAATTCAGTCTGCTTTCTGATAAATACAGTAAACTAAACAAGTTATGGATACAATACGGCAGAATGTGTGTTGTGTTGTTTTCTATGCCTATTGCATTTATCCATCTAATTATCTGGAAGAACATCATTACAGCACATGTAAAATGCTTCTGGTGGACAAAAACAATGATATCAACCTTAATTGACCTTTTATTTTAATGCTTTCACTGTGTTTTATTGTCAGATATCCTGAACATCCAGTCGTGGCCCAAAGAACTGAATGATCTGTCCGTTTTCTCGAGTCTCACAACCATTCAAGGGAGGTCGCTCTTCAAGTAAGGCTCATTCACTAACACTGTTGTTTATTATTGTGTAAGTTGAAGATGACCAAGCAGAAGTTGGGTAAAGGACAAAAGATGAACCTGATACAACTAATAATCTGTCAACAAGAGCATTTATTTTAACGGAATAAAAGCCACAATGGTTTCATGTAACTTCAAATAAATGTTCTTTATGCCTCAGTCTGATTCTTATTCTTGTGTTCTTGCCTAAAGTGATATCTCTCTGTATTAGACATACAGTAAAGTGTGTTGCATACGCATGTGCCGTCACTACTCTCACATAACATCTACACCTCCTATCTGCTTTAATCTGCTCTCGATGTAACACCTGATGATGAGCCCTGTGCATTGTGCTAACACTTTCTAACTTCCATCTTCTCTCTTTATGCTTTGCAGCTGTGATCAGGTATGGCTCATGTGTGTGTGTGTGTGTGTGTGTGTGTGTGTGTGTGTGTGTGTGTGTGTGTGTGTGTGTGTGTGTGTGTGTGTGTGTGTGTGTGTGTGTGTGTGTGTGTGTGATCCCAATAACACTGTAATCAAAGCTGCAGTGCGACTAATTCTTTAATTTGCTCTACTTCAAATATTTCCCTGGCTGACTTCAATGTTTTATCTCTCTGATTTATTCGTGTCTCTGTCCTTCTCCATCCTCCCACCAAAGGCACTTTTCTCTGATGGTGATGCGCATCCGCACCCTTACCTCACTGGGCCTGCGCTCTCTCCGTGAGATCAGTGACGGCAGTGTGTACATCAGTCAGAATAACAACCTCTGTTTCCACCACACTGTGAACTGGACCAAGCTGTTCAGAGGCCGCAGAGTTCGAATAAACCAACTCACCAGTAACCGGCCGCTGGCAGAGTGTGGTGAGGAGAGACACTGTAGACCTGCCTATAATACAAATGAACCATCTTATCCTTTGGTATTCTTTGTGCTGAACAAACTTTGATATATACATGTACCAATCTTATTATTATACTAAAAAGGCTATACTGTTGTCATAGAAAAATAAATTCTCCAAACATTTGCTATTTAACTCTATTTTATTACGGTGTAAAAGATTTTTTGTTTTATATTAGATTTCTTGTTTTTTATATTTTATTTATGCACCATGACATCAAGTCAAATTCCTAGTATGTGCAAACCTACCTGGCAATAAACCTGTTTCTGATTCTGATCATTCTTTTGTGTGCAGTTGCAGAGGGCCATGTGTGTGACCCGCTGTGTTCAGACTCAGGGTGCTGGGGCTCGGGGCCCGACCAGTGTCTCTCCTGTAGGAACTTCAGTCGAGACGGCACGTGTGTGGGCAGCTGTAACTTTAACACTGGGTCAGTAGATATATCTATGTGTTTATATTCTTACTGATTGTGTGTTATGGTAATGAATCTGACTCTGACTTTATATATTTTTTATATTGTGTCCCCAGAGCTCCAAGGGAATTTGCTGGATCTGATGGCGAGTGTGTCGCCTGTCATCCTGAGTGTAAGCCTCAGAGGGGGAAAGACAGCTGTACTGGACCGGTAATCACTTTGTTTGATTGTAAACTGGGGCCTAGTGCCTTTATATGAATTATTCATAACCACTCATTGTGTTTTTAGGGGGCATTTTGATTTACTGTGTCTCACCACCTCAGAACCCAAACCTTAAATCAGTAACAGTAACATAAATACTGTCAGAAGATGAGCTATGTTTTGAAAAAAATGATGGCCATGTAAATTACGGAAAACTAATTTAATTTTGAACCACTTTAGACTTCTGATGCCCTTGGCACAATGTCCACCCAAATGTAAAATCTGCAACAGATCTTAACAAAATACTGTCAAAACTGTTGATTACTTCCATTAAGACTTTTTTTTCATTAATCTCTTCCACCTTTTACCCAATATATAAAAAATCATATGCAGTAATATATGGTCTAAATCGTAGTTGGAACCAATCTATAAGTACTGCAC